GAAACCCCACCACATTGAAGGTACAACACCGTTCCTATTAATAGGGAAATTCAAATTTGAAATAACTTCCTCAAAACTTATTTAAATTTACTTTAAAAATTAAAAGTTAGTTTTTAAATTTTTTTCAAATTTTTAAGAAAAAAATTTTAAATAAGCTGAATTTTAAGTTTTGCCAAAGAGCAGTGCTACGGGCACTCGCTTTCTGCACTCTCCGGCCAACCCTTCCCCTTTCATTGGGCCACGTAAGCTTCTTTAAAGCTTTGAGGGCAATCTCCCGGAAGCCAAAATAACGTGGCCCAATAAAAGAGAAAGTGTTGGCCGGAGAGTGCAGGAGGCGAGTGCCCCTAGCATTGCTCCTTCTTTTAATGACACATCTTTGTTAACTTTAAACATTATAATGATATTATTTCCGAATTTAAAACCAATGGCAAATGCCTGAGCTTAGTGCCAAAAAAAAAAAAACTTACCTATAAAACAAAAACTTTAAAAAAGTACTAAATATATATATATATATATATTTGGGTAGAAGGAGAGAATATATAGATAAAAGATTAGCAAGTTGGTACAGACCTGGGAACTGGGTTCCCTATAATATCAGAGTACAGTAGCATTCTAGCATCAGTAGTACATTGATCCAAAATAACAAAAGGACAGGTAAGACTACATCCTGCTTTAGTTAGATTGTCAGCGACCATGTTCGCTTCACGATATATGTGCTTAATTTGCACGTCTTGGAGCTGAGACACCAACATCCTGCAATCATCCAGTAGAGCTGCAAGTGAGTGGAATTGATGACTATTTGAATTAAGTAAAATATGGGCAACTTTAGAGTCAGTTTCAACAATAATTTTCATGAAGCCCCTATCCACAGCCAGTTTCAATCCATCTCTAATGGCCCAAAGCTCGGCTGCCAGAGCAGTAGAATAACCCACATTCCGCATAAAACTGAGCAGCCAGTTACCCAAATGATCCCTAAAAACCCCTCCAGCCCCCCGTTTGGCCAAGGATTAGATAAAGCAGAGCCATCAGAATTTAATTTGATGTACCCTTCTGGAGGAGGGGACCAATTAACAAGAATGGTCTCCTTGTTAAGATTTCCCACATGTGTATTACAAGGGAATGGCACCTAACTTTTTAAAATGCAGCAAACATATAATTAGATAGACAACTAGGAATTGCACAAGGTTATGACCACTAACATTAATATTATGAACTTATGATATCATTAAAACTGTAAAATAATTTTTAAAAATATTGATTTTGAACTAATAAAAATAATTAATAATTATTAATTAATAATTATTAATTAATAAATTAAAATTAATCAATAAATTAAAATTAATAATTAATAATTAATAATTAATAATTAATAAATTAAAATTAATCAATAAATTAAAAATTTTAAATATTATTTTAAAAAATAAAAACTTT